CTCGTCTTGTTGGGCAAATATATTCACTGGGAGAAAATGTTTTATACCCAAAATCGTTTTTCTTTAAGTGAAGTAATAAACAGGAAGCACAACCCGAGTATTCGACCCAGTGACCAGCGATTTTTCACACCTCATTTTCCACTAAAAGCCGATCTGTGGCAGCTGGTATATTTTTCAATATTTAAGAACAATCTTCCGGGAAGGATCAGTGGTTAATTCGATCACATGTAACTGTGCATTTAGCACATACCAGATAGTACAATATGAAACATATAAAACATCCTTTCCCGTTTGTCCATTGCATTGTCCTCTAACCAAACCCAGATCACACTACTCACTTGTCCACCACTTTGCTCTGGCCCCCGTTGACACCCAATCTCCCTATACCTGCCTCAACTAGGCAAATATTCCCAGTTGGTATTAGTCCTGCATCTGAAATGGAGATTACCCGGGAAATAAGTAATTTAAAACGCTACAAGACCTCCGACCGGGATGGGCCGTCTCCATCAGTTTTCAGGGATGGAGGGCTCCAAATCAAACGCCGCCCCCGTCTTTCTCGGTCTGTTCGTCGACCGGTTTTCACCGTATGCTTTCATCTCGTTTCTCATCTTCATCCACATTTGAATACAACAAGTAACACAATGTGTGAGCAGAATTGATATTGGCTATCAATTTCGCGTGCTCTCAATCAGCTGCCTGCCCAAATTAAATAGGTCGAATTTTATCATTGAAATACCATGTATGAACATTTACATAATCCCATGGGTTCAAGCAGAACGCTGATTGTGTTGTTCAGTCATTACCACATCCAGATTGTTCTCGTATTTATCCTACTCTATCGGTCAGCTTTATTCCCTGTTGATCGTCAATCGTTTTTTTTTTGTTCATCGTTTCCAAACTCCACAGTTTGAATCAGCCGATGCGGACGGAATCACGGAAGATGGATTGGTAAACGAAGAGGTCGGACCGGACGGTGCTGGAACCGGGAAAGAAGTGAGTTTGAACTACTATCATTCCTCCTTCAACCATTCCAGTTTGTTTTCCTCTCTGTACCCTATGTTACCAATAGCGATTTGTTTGTTTTCTTTTTTCCCCGTTCGCACCTTATTGAAATGATCACTAGCGGCGTGATATTCGATTACTCCACTGGCATTGCTACCTCCCCCCCCCCTCCTAGACCTTGAGTTGGTGAACTGTACAAAATCTCTGTCGTGCGGGTGTAGTTTCAGTTTGTACAACCGTTAATGATGCACTTTCGTAAACCTGGTTGTCCTGGTCGTCCATCTGCACGCAGGAGAGCAGGAGAAAGAGGAGAGTGGAAAGTAGAGTCGAAGCAAAAATTGAGATTTTCAATAGACTGAGATTGCAAAGAAATTAAAAAGATACACGAACCCCACTGTGTATGGTACTCAGCTACATCACTCAATCTCTCTAACCATAGCTCTCAATGATCTCGATATCCGCATCCAGAGAGCCTAACTCGACCTATATGACCGAGTATCCTGTTTGAGGTTTTCATACCCTCGTGCCAGGTGTTATCTTGATCAGCCTTGTTTTTATTCCATCCACTATCTGCCTCGGCAAATATGGCGCACCTTGGCAGCCTATCTAGTGACATGCGTAACACATGTCCCAACGAATACAGCCCATGGAGGTGGACCACTAGCTTTCACGAATGCCTCAAACTGTACGCCTAATCTCAGCATTGCTCGTCCGGTTGCTCCGCCAGATTCGTGCAGTGCTGCGTTGACAGCGATGTTCAATCACCGACAGTCTCTCTTTATCTTGTTTTCCCAATGGCCAATTTTGTGCTGTGTATAGCAGAACTGGCCAAACTACAGCGGCATACACTCGACTATTCACGAACATCCGGATGCATGGAGCTGGGGATAATGTAGTAGTAGTAGTAGTAGCTAGATTGGAGTTTGATACCACTTTTCGTGACTCGGTCAATGTACTGGTTGGTTTAATCAGTATCATGGAAAACAAACCATACACACACACACACACACACACTGACGACCGTTTTGATTTGCTAGACAAACATGCCCAGATTCGGCCAGCTCGGAATGCTATAACAGAGGCAGCTGCCTACTTCCGATCAATCGTTTTACCCACTTACAACGATCAATTACCGCCATCGATTCAGTTTACTCGTAACGCTTCACAACTGGTTTTTCACATTCGCAACGTAATCGTTCTTTCTCAAATTGCGGTTTGGGCAACTTGAAATTTGGTTCTCTGCTATTGGATTTGTGAACGGAAGTTTAACCAAGCACATGTATTTCCTTGTTTGCTTTCTTGCAGCCAAGTCCATGTTCAGATAGGAGCGTCGGTTGGCGCTGGTTTCTGAGAAACATCGTGTCTGTCTGTTTGTTTTTCTGTCTGTCTGTCTGTCTGTCCATGTTTTCCCTACAATCCAACCGGTTTAGCCATGGGAAATTACGCGAGGTATGTAGGTTTTACGGTCTTGTCGCATTGTAAGCAAGTACACGCAAATGAGAAATGATTCTCGTGAGCAGGAAGTCGGACTTTAGACTTGTGCCATTTGGAACGACCACCCGGATCGCTGATTGATGAGTTAGGATAGACGTAACTCCGATGAGGAGCCAAACCACGGTATGTATCGGCAGACTGACAACGAAACGGAGACGATTTGTTTATCAGAAATCAGTAGTATGCAGTATTCCCATTGGTAGATAGACTGGTTGTAAGCAAGTAAACAAGCTAATTCAAATCTCTTGATTAACAATCCAATAGTGAGGAATCAAGTTCCAAGTTGTTTACATCAATACCTAAAACTAATCTATTTGCCACGCTTCGCAGACATTGACAGATAAAATCACTATGCTCGAGAAACTGACTGATTAGGTTTATAATAGACGGAAACCAATATATACATATATATTTGTGTGTGTGTGCATCCATCAAAGTGGCCAGTTTCCATTTTACTAGGATCCACATAAGATGACATGTCGTATAACATGAAAACGATCATTGTTCGATGATATTCCCTATACCCAACGACAGTGTCGGTTGAGCGCGAAATCATGTCGTATATAAGTAGTCACTTG